GATGATGAACCAGAAAAGGAAGAACACTGTTATTGTTGAGGAGTGCTTGGCTAGTGCTGAGGGTGTAGTTAAAGGGGTTATAGACAAGTTTGATAGGGGAGATGTTCCTGGGGATATGAGGTTTGTGCAGTTTATAAGTGTTCCTCTTTTCTCTCTAAGAAATCAATCAAGGGAAGTAGTTGAAGATAAGCTCGCGGAGCTTAAATGCCTTGTGAAAAGCCATGTGAGTAGAGGAATTGTCCTGTACTTGGGTGATCTCAAATTGGTTTCTGAGTTTTGGTCAAATTTTGGTGAGCAAAAAACCTACTATGACTGTCCTATGGAGCACATGATCATGGAGATTAGTAGATTGTTGTCTGGAATTGGGGTGTGTGGAAAGTTGTGGCTCATGGGGATAGCAACTTTTCAGACTTACATGAGATGTAAAACAGGCCATCCTTCGCTAGAGACTCTTTGGGAACTTCATCCTCTTACTGTTCCTTCTGGCAGTTTGGGACTCAGCCTCAACTTTGAGAGGTAAGCTTCATCAACACTTCTGGAAGGCTTCATNGTTAGAGACTCTTTGGGAACTTCATCCTCTTACTGTTCCTTCTGGCAGTTTAGGACTCAGCCTCAACTTTGAGAGGTAAGCTTCATCAACACTTCTGGAAGGCTTCATCAAGTAGTGTAATGGACATCAAACTTTTGATTTTTTTTCCAATTGACATCTCCTTTAAAAATTAGAAGCAAATATTGTACATAACGGACGGAACCGGAACTTTTTAGAGTTGGGTGTCCTTTATGTTATAATGTAGGTGCTCCTATTAATCTGATTTTATCTTTATTTTTTCAGTGATTTGCAAGATCAGTTCGGAAGCAAAGTTTCAAGAGATGAGTCTAGCCGTCTTAATGGACATGAAGTTGAGAAGCACCTTAATTGTTGTGCTGATTGCTCAGCCAATTTCAAGATAGAAGCTCGAAGCATAGTAAAAAATGAGTCTACGACCACTTCGACCAGCTCAAGCTTGCCCTCATGGCTCCAACAATACAAGGAAGAGAACAGAACACGCACTATCAATGATCAGGTATTAACTGTTCGTCAAAATCTTCAAGTTCTAAGTAATAGAGGATGAAATTTAACATTACTCTAAATCATACTACTGCTATAACAGGACTTTGACAAAGTTAGAGATCTCTGCAAGAAATGGAACTCAATTTGCAGTTCAGTTCACAAACATCCCAACTTTCTCGAGAAAACCTTTCATTTCTCGTCATATTCTCCTTCTTCTTCTAATTCGATTTCCTCGCATGACCACCAGCGCAGTCCAAAGTTGCACCAAACCCTTCTAAACTGGCCGGTGATTTTCGAACCCAACCAGTCACCCAAAGAACACCAATTCTTCCTATCTGAAAATGGTGGTGAAGGTTTTGTATCCAACATGAGAACATACAAACCGGTTACAAAACCAGACCTTTTATCCAATCCTAATTCTAGTCCTAATTCAGCTTCTTCTAGTGAGGCCAGTGGAGATATGGAGTGCTTTGAAAGGTTCAAGGAGTTTAATTCTGAGAACATGAAGATTTTAGCCAAGGCATTGGAGAGAAAAGTGCCATGGCAGAAGGATATTATTCCTGAAATTGTGAACACCATTCTTCAATGTAGGTCTGGAATGACTAGAAGAGAGAGAGAATCAAATCAAAAAGAAGAAACTTGGCTGTTCTTCTTAGGTGTTGATACTGAGGGTAAAGAGAAGTTTGCAAGGGAGCTTTCTAAAGTCATTTTTGGCTCACAAAATGAGTTAGTTTCAATTGGCCTCAGCAACTTCTCATCAACAAGAGCTGATTCAACTGAAGAATTTAGCAGCAAACGAACAAGAAACGAGCATGGCGAAAGTTATCTCGAGAGATTTGCAGATTCAGTGAAGGAAAATCCTAGCCGTGTGTTCTTCATGGAAGATGTAGAGCAAGTAGACTATCATTCTCAAGTGGGAATCAAAAAAGCGATTGAAAGTGGAAGTATTACACTTCATGGTGGTGAGTTGGTTCCATTAAAGGATGCCATTATAATTTTCAGCTGTGAGAGCTTCAGCTCCATGTCAAGGGCTTGTTCTCCTCCAATCAGTCAAAAATCATGGGAAAACAACAAAATAGAGAGAGAAAATGAGTTGGAGGAGAGAAGAACATGTGCCTCACTGGATTTAAATATTGCCACTGAAGAGCATAATGGAGATGAACATTCACTTTCTGACATTGGAATTCTTGATTTGGTGGATGGGCAAGTTGTTTTCAAAATTCTAGTGCTGTGAAAAGGAGACAGAATCAATTGGGATATCTTTCAGTTCTTTCCTTTACTTTTTTTTTTTTTTTTCATTTTTTAATCTTGTTCTTCAAATTGGGTGGGGGTTAAGTAGACTCTAACTACAGATGAAAAAGGTAATTTGGCATTTTGTGTGGAAGGAGATCAAGGAGGTAGACATCTAAAAATGGAATGTATATTATTACTTTTGTGATCTTTTTACGTGTGACAGTTTGGGGTGTTTTACATTTGGTTTTCTGAGAATTCTAGTTTCAAGTTCAGGAGCCTTTAATTTAGTTATTCATGTTTTCTTTGTCATCTGTTTCTTGATTTATCAAGTCCTTTTTTTTTTTNGCTTTCGAGTCGATCCATGTAAATTTGTCTTTTATATTTTTCTATTTAGTTATGTTTATTTGTTTGTAGCCTTTCTTCATCTAAAGAATTATATCACTATCTCGCCCGGATAAGATAAGTATAAATAATGAGTATGAGTGATATTTACTTTTATCTTCAGAATATATAATGAGATCTATCAATATCTCAGTAGNTGTAGCCTTTCTTCATCTAAAGAATTATATCACTATCTCGCCCGGATAAGTATAAATAATGAGTATGAGTGATATTTACTTTTATCTTCAGAATATATAATGAGATCTATAAGGATTAGTGATTTATCTCATATTTATCTAATGTATTTACTCATCCTACAAATAGGGTTGAGGACCTTAAATACGATTACCGAGAAATAAACATTGATGTAATCCATTAAGTGTTAGGTCTATGGACGTAGGCATATAGTGCCGAACCAGGAATATCATTGTCTTATTTTATCCATTCTATTTTCTATCTCCAATCTTTTTTATCATTATTTGCATCTCAAGGAATCAAATGGAGGCAATAAAAATGGCACGATGAGTCATTCCGTGCACAATTCCCACCACGAGCTATTTTTGATCACCAAGCTGTATGTATTATCAACAACGGAGTCAAAGAACAGGATATTGAAATCCCGACGAGCACCCTTAAATTTTTTCGGTTCAAGTTGGACACTTGCAATCAAATTTTCAGTGTACCAACTTGAGAGAGTGATAAAATACAAAGAGATCTATCACTATCTTGTCTCTATAAATATAGATGATGAGCATGAGTAATATTCAATTTATCTTCAGAATATATGATGAGATATATCAATATTTCAGTAGATAAGGATTTATTATTTATCTCATATATTTATCTAATATATATCATCATCCTACAAATAGGGTTGAAGACCTTGGATACAGTTACTAAGAAATAAGCATAGATGTAACTCATTGGGTGTTAGGTCCGTGGACATAGACATATAATATAATTGTATTGTTTTCTTGCATCTCTTTTCCATCTCCGACCTTTTATATTATGAATTTCTTCACTATCACTACCGACACTCCCGTCATTAGCAATATATGTCTATTAGCATTAAAGGATACATTAGTAATTGTGGCATGTATAAAGGTGTTTTGGTTGATCATCCAAACATTTTTATGAAATGCTGTTTATTTAACTGTTTGCCTATGAAATGATGTTTAGTTGCTCAAAATCCTCTCTTCAACACATCTGGATAAAGTCATTGTAACGAAAAGTGGTTTTCAATATTGTATCGAAAATGATTTCTAACAGTAAATTTTTATTCAAATTATTTATAATCATTGACACTTGAAATAATAAATTAAAGTTAAGTAAAAATAATTTTCACATCATAGTGAATGTATAAATGTGGCAAAGATTTCATCAAAAGGCGGTAAAACAATTTAAATTTCCCGAGAAGAATGTTCCTTCATGGATTTCATGCAATCAAATGTACAATTAGTGACCCATTATATCAGTCAATCATAACATGCTTTATTCCTTGCTCTCTTTGAGAAAGATCACAAGCTATCAAAACACACAGAGACACATAGTTCTCTCGATTCCTTCAAACAGACAGGCAGTCGGCTATCTCTTTTGAGGCCCCTCGTAATTGGTGTTAGTGTTTCTCTTCTTTTTCCCTCCTTTCTCTTTTCCCACCTTCTTTTCTCTTTTTACCAAAGTCTTTTTTGATCAAATATACATTAATATACTACACTATCTTGTAGCATTATATCAGCAAGCAAAAGTGATTCTCCCATTCGTTAGGTGCAATAGAAATACATCAAGAGAGGGCCAAATGTCTAATTTTTTAGTATCTTCCTCGAGAATGATTGTGGTACCGAGTTTGATATGATGAGAATTGCGATTTAATCGGAGTGAAGTTGTGATTTTAAAAAACTAAAATTAATTTTAACATTTTATGATTGATCTCAACCACCCTATCTTGTCATAAACTTGTCTAATGAGTTAAAACTTCTACTCAATTGAATCGTAATTCACACAATATCAGAAAATAACTCTCGATATCATAGTCTTTCTCATCTCCCTTTTTCCCATGTCAGAGAAAGAGAACAGACAGCTTTGCTTTGCCTCACATGCATTCCACTTTCACATACAAAACTAACAAGTACAAGAAAGGCACAAATCCACTTCACACACCTTATTTAGTACCTCACAACCAATCTATAAACCAGATGACCACTACCACATTACACTCCACCAACACAACTCTAGTTGCCACCCAAATGAAACCCATCAAACCCAGCCATCTACTTCTCCATCCTTGATCTCTTCTACAAAAACAACACCTCACACTGTCTCTAAGAAACACACAAAGATGAGAACTGGAGGCTACACTGTCCAACATTCTCTCACTTCTGAAGCTGCAAGCACAGTTAAACAAGCTGTTAACCTAGCTAGAAGGAGAGGCCATGCCCAAGTGACTCCTCTCCATGTAGCCAGTGCTATGCTTGCTTCATCCACAGGCCTTCTCCGAAGAGCTTGCCTTCAATCTCATTCTCATCCACTCCAATGCAAAGCCCTTGAGCTCTGCTTCAACGTCGCCCTCAACCGGCTTCCTACTTCTGCATCAAGCCCTCTATTTGGCCCTCACTCCCACCTCCCTTCCCTGTCCAACGCTCTAGTTGCAGCCTTCAAGCGTGCCCAAGCTCACCAACGCCGCGGCTCCATTGAAACCCAGCAACAACCCATTTTAGCTCTGAAAGTAGAGCTAGAACAGCTCATTATCTCCATTTTAGATGACCCTAGTGTCAGTAGAGTCATGAGAGAAGCTAGGTTTTCTAGTGCACAAGTGAAAACCAATGTTGAACAAGCAGTCTCTTTGGAGATTAGCTCTCAAAGTCCTCCAACAAGTAGTCATCAGTCCAAGGAAAGTACCAAACCTTTAGTTCTTGGCAACAACATGCCTCAATTTCTACCCATGAGTCAGATTAAAGTGTCTGTCAGCCAAACAACTGAAAAAGTACAGAATGGGGATGTAACGAGTGTTCTAGACACGATGATGAACCAGAAAAGGAAGAACACTGTTATTGTTGAGGAGTGCTTGGCTAGTGCTGAGGGTGTAGTTAAAGGGGTTATAGACAAGTTTGATAGGGGAGATGTTCCTGGGGATATGAGGTTTGTGCAGTTTATAAGTGTTCCTCTTTTCTCTCTAAGAAATCAATCAAGGGAAGTAGTTGAAGATAAGCTCGCGGAGCTTAAATGCCTTGTGAAAAACCATGTGAGTAGAGGAATTGTCCTGTACTTGGGTGATCTCAAATTGGTTTCTGAGTTTTGGTCAAATTTTGGTGAGCAAAAAACCTACTATGACTGTCCTATGGAGCACATGATCATGGAGATTAGTAGATTGTTGTCTGGAATTGGGGTGTGTGGAAAGTTGTGGCTCATGGGGATAGCAACTTTTCAGACTTACATGAGATGTAAAACAGGCCATCCTTCGTTAGAGACTCTTTGGGAACTTCATCCTCTTACTGTTCCTTCTGGCAGTTTAGGACTCAGCCTCAACTTTGAGAGGTAAGCTTCATCAACACTTCTGGAAGGCTTCATCAAGTAGTGTAATGGACATCAAACTTTTGATTTTTTTTCCAATTGACATCTCCTTTAAAAATTAGAAGCAAATATTGTACATAACGGACGGAACCGGAACTTTTTAGAGTTGGGTGTCCTTTATGTTATAATGTAGGTGCTCCTATTAATCTGATTTTATCTTTATTTTTTCAGTGATTTGCAAGATCAGTTCGGAAGCAAAGTTTCAAGAGATGAGTCTAGCCGTCTTAATGGACATGAAGTTGAGAAGCACCTTAATTGTTGTGCTGATTGCTCAGCCAATTTCAAGATAGAAGCTCGAAGCATAGTAAAAAATGAGTCTACGACCACTTCGACCAGCTCAAGCTTGCCCTCATGGCTCCAACAATACAAGGAAGAGAACAGAACACGCACTATCAATGATCAGGTATTAACTGTTCGTCAAAATCTTCAAGTTCTAAGTAATAGAGGATGAAATTTAACATTACTCTAAATCATACTACTGCTATAACAGGACTTTGACAAAGTTAGAGATCTCTGCAAGAAATGGAACTCAATTTGCAGTTCAGTTCACAAATATCCCAACTTTCTCGAGAAAACCTTTCATTTCTCGTCATATTCTCCTTCTTCTTCTAATTCGATTTCCTCGCATGACCACCAGCGCAGTCCAAAGTTGCACCAAACCCTTCTAAACTGGCCGGTGATTTTCGAACCCAACCAGTCACCCAAAGAACACCAATTCTTCCTATCTGAAAATGGTGGTGAAGGTTTTGTATCCAACATGAGAACATACAAACCGGTTACAAAACCAGACCTTTTATCCAATCCTAATTCTAGTCCTAATTCAGCTTCTTCTAGTGAGGCCAGTGGAGATATGGAGTGCTTTGAAAGGTTCAAGGAGTTTAATTCTGAGAACATGAAGATTTTAGCCAAGGCATTGGAGAGAAAAGTGCCATGGCAGAAGGATATTATTCCTGAAATTGTGAACACCATTCTTCAATGTAGGTCTGGAATGACTAGAAGAGAGAGAGAATCAAATCAAAAAGAAGAAACTTGGCTGTTCTTCTTAGGTGTTGATACTGAGGGTAAAGAGAAGTTTGCAAGGGAGCTTTCTAAAGTCATTTTTGGCTCACAAAATGAGTTAGTTTCAATTGGCCTCAGCAACTTCTCATCAACAAGAGCTGATTCAACTGAAGAATTTAGCAGCAAACGAACAAGAAACGAGCATGGCGAAAGTTATCTCGAGAGATTTGCAGATTCAGTGAAGGAAAATCCTAGCCGTGTGTTCTTCATGGAAGATGTAGAGCAAGTAGACTATCATTCTCAAGTGGGAATCAAAAAAGCGATTGAAAGTGGAAGTATTACACTTCATGGTGGTGAGTTGGTTCCATTAAAGGATGCCATTATAATTTTCAGCTGTGAGAGCTTCAGCTCCATGTCAAGGGCTTGTTCTCCTCCAATCAGTCAAAAATCATGGGAAAACAACAAAATAGAGAGAGAAAATGAGTTGGAGGAGAGAAGAACATGTGCCTCACTGGATTTAAATATTGCCACTGAAGAGCATAATGGAGATGAACATTCACTTTCTGACATTGGAATTCTTGATTTGGTGGATGGGCAAGTTGTTTTCAAAATTCTAGTGCTGTGAAAAGGAGACAGATTCAATTGGGATATCTTTCTGTTCTTTCCTTTACTTTTTTTTTTTTTTTTCATTTTTTAATCTTGTTCTTCAAATTGGGTGGGGGTTAAGTAGACTCTAACTACAGATGAAAAAGGTAATTTGGCATTTTGTGTGGAAGGAGATCAAGGAGGTAGACATCTAAAAATGGAATGTATATTATTACTTTTGTGATCTTTTTACGTGTGACAGTTTGGGGTGTTTTACATTTGGTTTTCTGAGAATTCTAGTTTCAAGTTCAGGAGCCTTTAATTTAGTTATTCATGTTTTCTTTGTCATCTGTTTCTTGATTTATCAAGTCCTTTTTTTTTTTTGAACTGGCTTGAATTGCTCAAGTCTATAAACCTTATTACTATGGGTTGTTAGTCAAGTCAAGCCTTTTGATGCATTAGTAGTTCATATCTAGACTCTGACTATCATATGCTCGAGCTTGGCTCCAACTCAATTGTCAAACTTGGACTCTTATTCAAGCTCAATATTGTTTCTACATTTTCAGTTGGCTAATTTTGGCACTATGAGCTCAATCTCGTATAGACCCATCGCTAAATGAGACTTTAGCTTTCAATCTATTGATCAGAAGTGGACTTCTTATCCATAGCTCAAAGTAGTACTATTTTGTTCTTTTTTTACTACGAAAAATATTTATTATCATATTACACACAAATGGAGCTTAAGTCAATAACACGTCGCGTGATTGGCTTGGGTTTATGTTCAAAAAAAAAAACTTGTATAATTGATCAAACAATTAGACATACAATATAGCGCAAAACCTATCCAAAACTTTTCAAGTTATACTATCAAAAGAATAACTCGAATACGAATCAACTTGGTTTAAGAGAAAATATTCTCATGATTCAAAGGACTAGATAACGATTTTCTTTCTCATCCCAAGAGTTGAGATACATTTGTCTTTGATCTATATCCATGCAGTTTTGAACCCACGCAATTTAATTTCCCTCACGACACGAGGGATTAGGCCCAACTCTATTTATGCAAGTTTGGTTTTCATATTGATTTCATCACTAGAGGCGTTTTAAGGGAAAAGGTAATTCAACAAGGAAATATCAACATAGGTCCCCCATAAATAAATAATGCATTGCTGAAGCTTATACAAATAATGAAAAAAAATTAGCAATGGAATTAAGAAAGTAAAAGGTGGAAATATATAAAGTTTGACGAAGATACGATTCATAACGTAAGAGCTATGCAAAACCAAAGCTACTTTAGAAAGAGAGAAAAAAAATCTTTAAAAAATGCAAGGGAAAAAAGGACCTTACGCTCTAGAAATGGTGAGGTGATTTTTATTAGAGTAATATTATTTGTATTTAAAAATTTGATCTAATTTGTCAACATAATGATGTGGTTTCATAGGAATCATTGGATCAACACCGAATTTCAATATTTGATAAGGCATACAATGAATGTAAATGTCACAGTAAATTAGGTCAATAACTTATATCCCAATAACATTACTCTTTTTATTATGGGTGTCAAATGTGTCGTGTTATTTGTGTCGTGTCATTGTTATTCGTGTCGTGTTGTGTCAAGACCTATGAAAAAACAAATCTAGTTAGTGTGTTATAAATATTAAACATTAGTCTAAATTATTTATTATATATATTTAATAATCGTGTTAATTTTATAATCGTTCATGTTGGTTAGTATCAGAGGGTCAGAGTTGACATCCCTCATTTTTATGGCTTTTATTGGCCATCAATACAAACATGACGGGCATTTGATACAATACAAAATTGAAAATTACACGAATAGTAAATAGGTTAGATTAATAATAAATATGAATGACTTGATTAATTGATATCGTAAGAAGAAAATAAATATTTTATAATTTTTTAACATAATATCATGAGTTGTATGAAAATCAAATATTTTTTTATTACCATGAATACGATACGAACCGAAATGATATGACCCCAAAATAATCCAATTTAAAATGTATGACAAGACATGAAAATAACACGATGACAAGAATTAACACCCTAGACTGATTTTCACCGTTAATGCTTTCTTTCTTCCATTCTATTTGAAAGGTTTTGGGGGCAAGGAATTAAACTCGATCATTAAATATAGAACAAAGGGACGAATCTGATCTTCGACCCATAAAGGTGTTTTTGCTTTAGCATTCAAAAAAGAACATTAATTAGTATTAAACATTCGAGATTAGCTAGAACCATCAGTCTTGTTACACAATATGGTGCTTGAGGATAAATAGTTTCCTTTTGAAGTTCAAATTCTTTTATGTTTCTTTTCTTTTTTTGGAATACAAATGTGGGTAAAATTTCTTCTCTTTCCAGACACCATCTTTGACTCTACTTTAACTACCCTGAGAAGTAATGGCCTGATGGCATAGTTCGCCTCACACTTCTTGAGCCACATATGCTGCATGTTTTTCAAAAAACATTGTTACTTAGACTTAATTTATTTTAATTATTAAAATTAAAAAAAAAAATCACAATTGTTAGATATAAAACACATTTTAACTAAGAGTTATATCAAATTAAGTCTCCGAATTGTAATCGTACCAATGCAGCCAATCAAACTAGAATGATATCACTCCAAGTATAATTGAAAGCCCTCTCTTTGGGTAGAATACCCTTTGAACCATATTAATTGGTGGAAGTCTTTAACACATAAAGACATGACCTCGAGCTTCGTTCCCTTCGTTCCCATCATGGATGAATGCCAAAAGGGCATTACCAAAATGCACTAGTGGTGGTAGTTGGAGAATGCATGATAAAAGGTATTCTCATGGCTAGTGTTTTGGGATGCTAGTCATGCACTTATTTCCAACAAATGATGGTATCAATCGAGTCACATCCCTTAATTTTAATATATGTAGATACATGAGTTGTATTATGTTGGATTATTTTGTAATCAGATCGATATGTATAATTTGTAAATCAAAAAAACTCTGAAGATTATAGCATTATTCCTTCTCAATCAAATTCATCATATATATGGGTGCTACATGAATTACAATGTTTTTGATTCACATCCTCCTAAATTTAAATAACTATTTAATTCTACAATAACTCATACAATACTAAAAATTAAAATTAAAAATTAAAAAATAAAATTTACTACAATACCAATTAAACTGATTATTGTGTCTAAATCAGGTTTTTTCGCGTTTAATACTAAAACCATCCATTTCTTATTTATGTTCATTAATCAAATCAATTTTGTTTGCATACCGTGTTGGATTCAAGTTATACAATGGATCGTCTTAGAAAAATGAGAGCCTATGAGCTTCATGTACACTCCCAAGTTGTCCTTTCTTCTTTATCTTATTCTTTTCTTCTCTTTTCTTATTCTGTCTTCCAACACAATTTTCAAGCTCTTCAGCATATTTCATTTCCCTTTGAAATCCTGGTTAACTTTTGGAACCTTAAAATGATACATAGTTGTCATAATGTTGACAATCTTTTAGCTAGCTGGGCCATTTCTTCTTGAGAAAATGATACTTATCTTCTCTAGTATTACTTGTACTTTTAAGCATCTTAAACTCAGTTGCTTAATGGAAATCTAAGAAGTGGTTAGAGACGGGCGGACCCAGAAATTTCTTTTAAGGTAGGCGGACTAGCATATTTTAATTTTTTTTTAGTAGACAGTAAAAGTTTATAAATTTATATTTAATACTTTTTAAACAAAAAAAATTAAAAATCGATATACATAACATGAACAAAAAAATAATAATCAATGCAACTAATTATTATTACTTACAATTGACCCTAGTATGTTTTTATTATTTGAAAAAGTTATAAATTAATTTTATCAATAATATTTCTTTTATATATAAAATTCCGGTAACAATCTTCTATTTATGATCCTATAGTTTATTACATAATGACACATATTTTTATACAATAACGAAATAACTCTACAATTTAAAAAAAATTATAAAATAACGTAAATATGTTCAAAACATATTCGGATATATCTAAAATATGTCTATAAGTTAACAATTATATTAGTTGTACATAATTTAAGATTTAATTGATGGAGACCCAATAGTTTGTGACCATTGGATAGATAGTAGAGTTTATTAAATATTAAGATTCACTATTATACTTCATATCGCAATGTATTAGGTTCTTAAATCAATATCATCAAAACACAATATTAGGGTAGACACAATTAAATTTTTTTAAATTTTATTTTAAAAAATATATGTTTAATACGAAACTAAAAAAACTGAGGGGGCATGTGCCCACCCTAGCCTAGCCCGAGGGTGGCTCCACCCCTGGTTAGAGAGACCAGTTAATGATAAGAAACATTCATTCAGACAAAGCAGGTGAATTATTAAGTATGATCATACATTATGGGGCCACCGTTGGGTTCAAATATTCTCTTCAAGCTGGAGTCCCAACAGTGGGGCCACTGTTGTATAAGATTGGATAGTACCATTGGTTTTGAACTGCTTCCCAGTTATCAAATCAATCCTGGTCACTTCATGATAGTTGCTTGCAGCTTTTTCCAACGTTCGGACATACTTTGATAAATCCAGAGTGTTCTGCCATTGACTCCCTCCAACCATCATTGCAATCAAGAAAATAAACACAAAGATTGCCTTCGTCTGGTAGCTCAGAAATATCCGGATCAACTATTTTCTTGAAAAATCTCAATAACAAAAGTATCTGGCAATCCAACAATATCAACAACTCCACATAATTTAGATTCTTGCTTCTCTTCTTGTCTATCTATAGGCTACGAACTTTAAGAACGGTTTTTTTTTTTTTTCGGAAGATAAAATTTATTAAAACAGACGCAGGATAATCACTTACAAAATATACAATGAAGTTTAATAGGATTCAAAAACAAACAACAAAAACTCAAAAATCAAGACTAAAAAACACAAGTCTATAAGAGATATCTAAGAACATCTTCCACAGACTTGTTGACAAAAGAATGCAATTGTAGTAAAAAACAAAGCACGAAACCAATACATCAAAGAACATCAAAGAGGCAGTACGCAGGGAGGTTCCAAGGAACTTTAAGAATGTAGTCTTCATCAATTTCA